AGTGGAGAAAAGTCAAAAAACTTCCAAAATTCTGCCAATATTCAAAAAACTTCCAAAATTCTGCCAATATTCAAGGCCAGTTTGAAGATTATCAAAGGATAATTGAGAGGCAGGAGTACAGTTAACGCCAGTCAACTCAGCTTTATAGAAAATACAAGGTTATCACACAAACTAATTTATATACAGAGTTCTTAGCAGGATTCCATACTCAGGTGATTTAGTAGAAAAGAGTCCTCAAAGTTTCTGCCACAGGAAAAAATATATTTGGTATCAGAACCAAACTTTTAAGAAACCACAAAGGGAACAGTTAAGATACACAGAACACAACCGAGTTCATGCCAAACTAGGCCAGGAATTAAGCTCAGTCTAAACACCCATGTTCCCAAACATGGGCCACATCAGGTCCCCCATTGCCTACCAAACTCTACGAGCACCTTCAGCTGATGGAGACGATGACAGAGGTAGGAAATGGGGTGTTTTGAAGGAACGGGGCAGATGAAAGCTGCACCTCCTTGACCACAAGCACCTTTCCAGGCTTTAGCTTCTAACCATTATTACTTCTGATACTTTCTCCATTCATTTCGAAGCCAAGTGATATTTAGAGGTTATACCTCAAACTCTCATTGAGGACGATAAACATGAAAATAAGCAAGTCGCCCAGCGCTGTTCTGCTCCTTCTAGCAGCCCTTAAATCAATTCCAGCAGCTCTGGTAATATACACTTATTAATTTCAATGAACAAGTCACATAAAGGATGAAGGCAAGACCAGCCCACACCCAAGGCTCCCAGTGCCCAATATCTGCTGGCACTTCCCTGTCTGCTCAACGCAGCCACGCAGGAACATCTTGCGCCGCCACGCGCTAATTAAGGCATTACACCACGAATTAATTCTGTTACGCAGTCCTCAGCCCAATACCCCAGATAATACACCCCGTCCTGGGGAACCCCACAACCAAAAGAGCCTTGTGGCGTTCAAATCCACCCAGCAAACCTCCCAACCTGTATGCCAACACCGAAGGAAGCGAGAAGGTTCCAGCTGAAATGATGCTTGAAGCTACCAGCTGGACTAGGACACGTGCTATAAAATATGTACACAACCACGGATTTTCAGCAATTTCTCCGTATTTCACTGGAAGTCCAACAGATCAGCCTTTGCTAAGAACACTGAACGCTGGTCAGCTGTAGCTTGGGCTAGCAACAAACTCCAGTCTTCCCAACCTCTGCGCTGATCGAGCGCCAGCAGTGTGAGCGTTCCCTTCCAGGGCTCCCACTCAGTTATGAAAGAGATCACAGAACTCAAGAACAGAACTCAAAAAGAAAAAAAACAGATCAAGCAGCTGCATCGTGAGCACTCACCCTGTAAGATGCACGTGCTCCCAGGGATACCACATCAAAGCAACGTCACCTAAAAGACACTTAAAGTATTGCATCAGAAGTTCAGTTCGGTGCTTTTTAGCTCCTTGTGCTCAATTCTTCCCCATTTTCCATCAAGTGAAACATGTCGCGGTTACCTCTGAGCACTTATTTAGATCTATGTACTCAGTATCGTCAGGGAAGGTACGCACCATGCAGCCAAGGAAATCACATCAGCTCCATCAGCAATATAAACCTGATCGTTTACAGAGACGAGCATCAGCAGGTTATCAAATCTCTCCGGTATGAACAGCGTGAGATAAGCCCTACGGGAGACAAGGCACTTAAACCCAAAAAGGTAAGTTTACAAAATTATAAACAGGAACAGTTATTCCTATTGCCCTCCATTGTATTTAAAAAATTATTTATATTCCATATACAGTGTGGTATGTGCCTTACACCCCCCCAGAAGGAAACAGTCAGGAAGCACAGAGGAAACCAAGCCATCATCGCATGCCATCGGCTACAGGACAGAAAAAGAGTGAAATAATGGTTTTCTAGACAAGCCCCAGTTTTCTGCTCGGAGAAAGTATCTGCGCTAGCAGAAAGTTAACTTGGTATTCGCACAGAAATCTGCGACGGCAGAAGAGAACCACCCCACTGTGTTCAGAGGAGGAATGCAAATTAGGACGGGATTTAAGCCTTAGTGGGATTTATGGTAATTAGAAATGTAACAAATTTAACTTTACAAAGAAATTAATTATGCCAATTAAAACACTTAGCAAATTTTACTGGGAGTTTATACAGTATTATACGTATATGGTGCTGATCAATGCCCGATTTATTGAAATTACTTACAGCGCACTTCCAAGAAAATTTACCAAAGCAGCACAGGAATTACAATTAAGATGCAAAATTTGTATTTGCAATAAACATTTCCTTATCAAGATCCAGAGAGAGGAAAAACACCCAGTAAAAGAAATAAGGAATTTAGGTTCAGGTAAGGCACACCAACATCTAAATCCCCCGAACTGCACAGCTTGCTGGAGTCTGGCCGAGAAACAAGGTCAGTATTTTCTATAAATATTAAAAACCAGACACTTTCAAAAGACTCCAAAATTCTCAGTGCCGAACAGCTTGCATCAGCACACCGTTTGTGACACATCTGCAAGTTAATGGAATGGTAACTTAAAATACGCTGCTTCCTCCTCCTATGCTTGCTGAGATGGGGAAGGAAACAGAAATTTCCAAACAGGTGAAGTTATTCCATATTTTGTGGGAACAATGATCCTAAGTTCACTTAGTCTTATAGCTGAGATTTTCCTTTTAGATGGCCTCCAAAGACCACCTATGTTTTATGTATATTTTACATTTTAAACTCTGTGAACAAATGCAAGCTACACTATGGCTTCTGTTTCTAACGATAAGCCAGTGGAGTTTTGGAGCTTAAAGGGAACAAAGGAAGAGCCACAGTTAGTAGAATAACAAAATTAAACTTGCTAAAAGTAATGAATTTTATTTACAAATACATGTAGGAGGATTACAAGAGAAACACACTAGGGAAACTCCATCTCAACAAAAGCAATGATTTATTTGTAATGGCATTAAATGAAACAGACTGACAGTCTCTGGTTATGATCAAGCAATTATCCAGGAGTTGTAGATAAGAGTGAAGATCTCTTTGATTGCGATAAGGCCTTCCAGTGTCTTCTGCGTCCTAGTGGCTCTCTCCTTTTTTGCCAACTACCTGATAAGAGAAAAAAACCAGAAATAGTGTTTAACCAAAACAGTCCTGCCAAGTATTTTTTAAAGCAAGTCTCAAAATAAACAAGTGCAACTGAGTTTCCAACTGTTAATGCATTGAAGCATGCACTACCGGAGCACTTGCAGAAGCTGTGAGTCCCCCTCAAGGGTTAAGAGGGATGCCAGACACACCAGAAACCTTATCTTTAGTGCTCATACAGACAGCAAAGCATCAGTCTCATTTCCCAAAGAGTTAGACAGTAGCTGCAACAGAACAGACCACACTTAAATGTGTTATGCACCAACCATCCAACCTTTGTACGCTATATAAAATATTACGATGGAATAGAACCGCTGGTTGCTCAGATCTGAGTTTGCTCATTTCCCTTGGCACCCTCGCTGAGTACCGCACTGAGAGCATTTACCTTCTAAAGCAGTTCAAGCCTATAAAGAAACCTGGAAGTCATCTGATTTGCAGTTATTCCTTGTCAAAACATTATTCCTTACCAAGTCTCCTTCCAACCTCCAACTCTGCAAACTCCACCTGGAATCAGAGTCAGCTTAGTACTTCCCTTTTCTGAAAAGATCACCGCAGCCACCGGAGCCTGGCGAGCCGATTTGCCAGCCAACAAAGCGTGACTCCAGCGCTCTCTATACTGCTATGCGGGGTTAAAATTAGCGCAGTTCATTGCGGAAGGGTATCCACTCCCCTTCATTAAGGTAACTGAACACAAATCCTGAGAGCAGAAAACAACGCCATTTTGGTCACTTTTCTGAAAAGATTCAGACATAATTCTAGTGCTCTTGCAGACACTTGAAAAAAAAAAAAAATCAATTTTTAAGCCAAAAGAAAATAAGCCTTAAAGTTTAAGACTTCAAACTGCAGGAGGGACCTTGGGCAGGGCACCGATTCCAAATTAATTTTCCATCTCTGAGAAGGTGCAGGCAGAACTCACACAGCCAGAGGTTTGAACTGCACTCACGGAGCACAGAATTTTCACAGAATTTCCCATTACTGCTCATAACAGCCCTGAAAATGAAGGAGCAAAACCTTTCTTGTATTCTAACCCTTTGGCTGACTCCTATAGCAAATATGTTAAGTATTAATCACCTCGCAGTGAAGTGACAATACACCACCCAAGATCCATGCAGTCCCTAGTGAAACACAGAACTATGGGGAAAAAACCAAAACAAAACCAACCCATAGCATCCTTCCTGATCCTTCCCGTTTTTCCATTTCTTGTCAAACCTTACGAGGGACAATCTTTCAGTGTCCAGCTGCTTTCAGTCATCTGAGTTATCCTTGTCACAGAGTAATTAAGATCTACTGATGAAAAGTACTTTTAAAAAAACATTTTCACCTCCAAGGAACCTTTGGCCAGGAGCATTTCACCAAGCTTTAAACTCAAACTAATGCTTAGGGTCAGAAAAATTCCAGTCTGACAGCACAAGGGAAGAAGAAAAATAAAAATCAAAAGCCCAATCACTTGCATTAAGATCCAATTAATCAAGTTAAAAAAAAAAAACAGTTAAACTTGTCAAGAAGCAGTATTTATTCTTTGTGTGTTTCCAAAGCAAACTGTGTTCACACACAGATTAAGCAAAAAAAAAAAAAAAAAAAAAAGAGGAAAAAAAAGAAAAAAGGAAAAACACAGTTAAAAGATTAAAGATTAGGTGTTAGCAAGTGTGGAATATCAATGAAAAACATTGCTATACCAGTCTGAGTCAGAGATTGACAACTCGCCCATGTGTATTATCTGTGAAGATCAATCATACCAATACGGATATTTTGTCATCACAGGCCAAAGAAACACATTTTCTGACCAACCCACTCCACCTTCCCAAAAGGAAACGGGCATTTAAACTTAAACCAAACAACTGGCATTATTCTTTTCTCAGAAGTAGACCCATTTTCCTTCCTTTTACAGGAAAAACTGCCATCTAGTGCATTCTAAGGTAGCAGCTACAGCCTGTGATTCCCACACCAAAGATGACAGGTTTGGAGCAGGCTTTTCGTCATTCATTTGTGTTTTTTTCCCCAGGCATCAGCCCAGAGCCTGACAGTGACAAAGCCACAACCAACTCTACGGGTCATAACCAAGGAGGACTGGAAACACCATTACCGAACCTTCTGGAGCAGAGTTGGTTTTGTTTGTTTGTTTTAAATACATATAAAGAAGTCAAGCAAGTAAAATTAGTAGGATGCTGTTGGAGAACCCTCATCAGGCCACGCACGTACAAACACTCACCACCTCCTCACTGTGTCTTCCCTAAGCAGGTGCCCAGTGCCACAAGACAATAAGGAGTGGGACTTTGCAGCCCACTGCAGCTTGCCTACTTCTAAAGGCTCGCAACAAGAACAGAACACTAAGCTCCACTACGATATTAAAAAACAGCCAAGTCTTGGTAGAGCATTTCACAAGCTGCACCTCAAGCAGCTTAACTAAATTCAACACAGGCTGAAAAAATTAGTTACAGAAAATAATTTGTAGAATTATTGTATGCCTTGTAAATGTCAAGTTCAGGATAACAGCGGGACAGAAATTTGGTAAGGCGGAAAGGCAAATAAAAGTGTTTAAGGTAAGATTTGGAGCAGGGAGCGGAGGGGAAAGATGAGTTGATGAGTCAGAAGGTAGAGAAGGCTTTTCCTGACGGTAGAAGGTGCAGAGAAGGTGGCTCTTGCATCAGTGTTGAGATTGTGGAAAGGGTGAAAGAGATGCTAGATGAGCAGAGGGAGCAAGGAAGGGAGTAGTGCAAGACCACTTCAATCTTATTATTACTTTTTAATTTCTTCTGCCTTTTTAGTTCTTTAGAAATGGGATGTTAAGCTGAAAAACAAACAAACAAAATGTTACAAGAAAAAAAAAGCAGCAGCATGTAGTGCAAATAAGCAGTTCTGAGCAGAAAGAAAGCATTCGTTCAAGAGGGGAAAAAAGAAAATATCCCACAACCTGTCAACAGTCATCTACACCCCAGCCTCAAAACTGAGCAGCAGTATGTTTTATTTATTAATACCAGAAATAAACAAGAACCATAGTGGACATCAATGGTTGCATGCTCTTCCACAAACAGCATGTTTACAGGCTCACCACAAGATTCACAGGAGCCTAAGCTATCAATAATAAAAAAAAAAACCCAGAACTTGTATTTTTACTCTACACTTTTAGCTATCTGCCCAACAAAGCAGTCCAGCTGAGCATCTCTGCATTTGAGATTTGCTTCTGATGCTCAATACACCACAACTCCGATGCAGCCTACTGCAGCAGTTCACGTGGTCAGTTACGCCTTCAGTCTGACCCTTCAGTCAGACCAAGAAACAGCAGCAGAAACTCTACTGGTGTTAAGGATATTTTTTAAAACAAACAAACGTGCCTTTAAACCAAGCTTTCCCAAAGCATTTCAGAATATATCAGATACTGCTAGGAAGGAAATATTCATCCTGGTCCTCCGCTCTTGAGGGCCTCTTAATTTAAACAGGGCAAAGAACAGGTCTCTCCCCACTCCTATGGACTTAACTCACTACACTGCAGTCAGTTTTAAGCAGAAATATTTTCCTTAATGACCTCCTTTTTTCCATCACTCCGAAGACTTCTCTCCTCCACACAGGAAAAAAAAGAAAAGTTGTGAAAGGGAGCAGGATACATGTAACAGACTAAAACAAGCTTGAAAAAGCAGCTTTTACAACTTCACTCACTCAGTCCAGCAATAGCAACTATGTGGAAGAAAATGAAAGAAACTTTTTACAGTGAGACCAAGCAATCACTGGAACAACGTCCAGGGGGATGTGGCAGAGCCCCCATGACTGGAGATTTGCAAGATGCGACTGGACAGGGTGCTGGATAACCTCACCTAGGCTCCCTTTCCCAGGCAAAGCTGGATCAGACGATCTCCTGAGGTTCCTTCCAACCTGGGCTGTGCTGTGATTCCACGTATGTCCAAACTAACTTGCAGCCAAAACCACTAATGAAGAACTGACTTCACTACACCTCTGCTTAGTACTTTTGTTATTTTTCCAGAGTATTTGACAGTGCAAGTACTGGTAGTGATGCCTCACTTATATTAAACACATGAACCAACTCCCTGCTGGAGAAGAGGTGACTTCTTGCAGTGCTGCTGGTGTTAGCAGAGCAAACATGAGTCTTCCTCAACTGTCTGAAGGACATGGGACCTGCAGTTACATACCTGAATAGCTGAGCAGTAAGCTGCGGTACACTAAAAACATGTGTTCACATCCCACCCCAGCTGGGAAGCAAAATACATTAGCCTGATCCTTCACAGAAGTCATTCAAACCAATGGGGTTTTATTTTTTTTTTTACTTTGAAACCAAACATGCACACAATCAACCCAGCAGCTATGGGATCAATCATAAAACCACGTCTGGAATCACATTCATGTCCACGTCTTAATTCAAGCCCTTCAAATAAGATATTCAACAGATTCTTACAAACACTTCTCAAATTCAAGGGGAAAAAAAAAAAAAAGCATTCCTCCACCTTGCTACTCACATTGCAATACTGTTTCTGTTATAATTAAGAGAGAAATGCAAACAGTAGAGACAGACTGAGATGAGAGAGTGAGACGAAAGCAGTGAGAAGTAGTGTGGGTAACTACTCAAGGAGATGGAAAGTAAGGTTTCCCAGTTAATCTACCAACTTAAATATAATTAATGCCCTACTCTATATTAAGGTTTTGTAACTGACAGGATCAGTGGAAGAGAGGAAACAAAACCCCTAAGAGCACTGCAACTCTGCCAGACTACACATCCCATTTGCTATGATGAAATATTTTAACAGCCCAATATTAAAACTACATGTTCAAGAAGCAAAACAGGAATACTACGTATAGTGTTGATAAGTATCTGAATTGAGACAGGATTAGCCACTTCATAACCCAGTAACGCCTGCTCCTCTTTTTAAGGCCATTCTGACCAGTTCCCAGCAGAATGACAACACCGTGGGACTGTCTGGTGCCTACACGTCTCGTAGGTTTGCACCCCCTCCCCCGCCATTTAAATGGGTGTTGCAAGACAAAGGCAAACAAACTTTCAGTACTTTTGAAAGCAAAACTAAATTTGCAGAGTTTACAGAGAACCGAAAGCGAGGCAGAGATCAAATTCTGAGTCAGCGTAGGAGTCCCATCAACCTCCCAACAATACCAGAAAGTACTGCAGATTAACGATGTTAAAGTACTAATTGCAAACTCATTGCGGGGGATGCCCTAATACAATAAGTACTGACAAAACTCCATATAAGAGAAAAATTTAAGCAGACTGTAAGTCAATTAACATATCTATAGTTTTAAGATAATTGGAAGTGCTGTACTAGGAAGGTGTAGAATTGATCTCCACTTAGTTTTAGTACAGTAGAACAACTTTTTCAATGACTCCAACCTCCACTGAAAGGCAACAAAACCTATCAAACTTCTATTTATTAACGTAATTATCACCTGCAAAGATACTAAGTTTCACACGTAGAAGTTAAGATCAAGTTCTGACATTAAAAATTCCAAGTGCATGACATGTTGGTGAGCATTAGTGGTTTTAACCTTCTGAAGTTATAGGTAGTTTGGATAACAAATTCTGTGGGGCTTTCCATGGTACTGGTTACCGATGAAATAGTTTGTAGGCAGGTGTTACCGGAGAGTTTGCCCTTTTACAAAGGCTACTAAGTTTTAAAGCAGTGTATTTTAAAGACTTACTACATTTTGAAAAAGTTGTAAGTAGCTTTAAAGTTTCAATCCTTTCAAACCTGTTTCACATTCTCAAAAAAAAACCCCAAGAATTACGAGTGCCTTATTGTTCAGCACTAGTGTGTCTAAGGTCTTACCGCAACAAGCTGTTTCCTTCATTTCCTCTTCAAAAAGCAGATACGTTTAATGTAAAGGACACATTGCAACCAAATATTTTTCACATCTCAAGCTTACTTAATGTTGCCCAGTGAATAAAATCCTTCAGTAAAGCAGAAGTTGAGTCAAACACAAGAAGTCTGCTTAAGTTGTACATGAAATTGCTTCTCTACTTCCATCAGAAAGCAAGTTTCTAAATCAAGACATGAATCTCATAGCTGCTGAAAGAACCAACATTGTCTATAGTGTACATAACTTGACAAGTTTTCATATACACATTCTTACTAGTTTTTACAAAGTTACTGAACAAAAACTTGTAAGCAAGACTAAAGATCTGTAAGATAAAGCTACACACTTTCTTTTGGGTGCCAAAACTAACTTGAGTTGTATCAGTGCAGTAACAACCAAATGTGTTTGTTCCGTCAACCCATTTTAGAGTAGGTTTAACACATTCAAAAGTGATTTTAAGAAAGACACTCACTCGCTTGAAGTCATTCATATTTGTTGCTTGGACTGGAGTCCCAATAAATGTGAAGTACGTGATCCTTGTTGTCTCTTCATCACCATGATTGGATTGGACAAACAACTAAAGAAAAAAACCCCAGACACAGGAGTTAAGGTAAATTGTCCATCCCTGAATTAATACAGAAAACGTTAGGTGCCCAAGATTTTTGAACTAACCAAACTAACACTTTATTCCAATTATAAAAGCCTCTCTAACTGCAAAGGCTACTGTCCTCTATTTAAAATAATGTTGACATAGAATGCTATTATTTTCCTGGTAGTTTGCTAAAAGTTCGCACAGCTTGGATTTCCTCAGCTTCCAGTTCTGACCTGAAACCACACTCAGCAAGCAAAAAAGGATCTAAGAAGTCACAATTTACTGAAATCTGACCTGAAGTGAAGTTAAATATCAATTTAACTATGCCTGCTGAAGCTCCGAAGACTATTCACGTGTAGTTTACTACTACAGCTTGCATCATTACATGTTTCACAGCATGATACCTCATCTATGAAGTTATTTTAGAGTTTCAAACAAATATCAAGCTTCATTTGAAATATGAACTAAGGAATTATTGCTGGAACCACTGCACTTTTCAAATTGTACAAATGAAAGAACAATTTCTTCTGCATGAAGTAGTACTAGTAAGGAACTTGGGAGTCAGAAGAGCAATGAGATGTTTGTGAATCTTCCCACACTTGACTGTAAGCAACGAAACCAACAACCATGCAAAGTGCTCTAAAAGCCTATGAAGTTTTCAGCCTGCACAGACCTCAGAACAGAAACTTTACTTACAGTTACACTATTAACATTCTGAAATTTCACATAGCGAAGCTGGATAATGCCATCTTCTTTAATATCATCTGGTGTCAGCTCCAGGGCTTGAGTTGGTTCACTTCTTTCTGCTTCTTCAAAATCCATAGATCGTGGAAGGTTGATGAAGATTTTTATGTACTTTGGACCTTGCCCTGTATTAAGATATAGGAAAGGTATTCTGTTGTTTAAATATATTTTCAAAATGCTGCTCAAGAAGCCCTCGCTTATCACAGTCTCTAGAACTACTCAAGGAAAGCATGAGCTTCTATAGCTGTAGTAACTTACCACCACCCTGCGTGCTGAAGGACATCCAAAGTTGCACTACTCGCCTACATGTCAGAAACAGAATTTCACAGGCAAAAAAAATACAATAAAGAATCTAAAAATAACAAGTCTTGTGATATAACATCTGAACACTTTATGTAGTTTTATAATGTGAACGGAGTTACCATAAAAACTAAGCTATACCTTTCAGTAGCTCTCACACTAATTCTTGAATGAAATGTTTCTCTTTGCAGCATTATCAAACTACAGTAAATATTTATATTTGTGTCCTATCAAATACCCCTGTGCAAGGTCAGTGAGAAACAAATGAGCTCATTTGTTATGCAATTCATTTACAACAAATTCATTGAAGCTACTGTAGGATTCTCAGAAGGCAAAAAGTTCCACGGGCAACCACATCATTTTTAGAAAATTCAGCTACACATGAGCAAAGCTTTGGTTTCAAAGATATGATTAACCAGACACTTCACTCACCATTATCTGGCCCCTGAAGTTTCATAGAATAAAGCTTGACAGGTTGACTAAAAGCTACAGTAATAAGCAGCTGTGAAGAAAAAAAAAAGTTGCTGTTAAGTACTGTTTTCTTAATTCTTAAAAAAACAGCACAATAATTAACTAGAAATAAGTCTGACTTTTGAAATAAAATTAAGTACTTAGCTTTCGCTATGTGCCACACATGCACTAGTCCGTCACTTGAAAATACCAGCAAATGCTACTCTGCTTGGAAAACTTTCCATACATAAAAGGATGTGAAACCAGAAAGACTACAACCACCTCTGTACACTAATTTTACTTACATCCTACTACCACGTCTCCATCCTTTCTTACACTATCATAACAATATAAAGCAGACAAGTTCTTTAAAAAAATGCCTGTAGACCAGAGCATCATTGATAATATCTCACCAAAAAAAAAAAAAACATCTACTGTACCTGCTCGTCACAGTCTGATTCCAAGTAGGTAGAGTCTTTACGTAAACAATTATCGAATCCATGCTCATCACTCTCATTAAGACATTCACAGCCGGCTTTATTGATAAATGGCATTAAATCCATCTGAAAGTAAAAGCAAAAGCGTTGCTAAGTGCACGATAAGTGTGCCATGAACGCATCTGGGATTAGTAAGCATTGGAACGAACAAAATTCTTCATTCAACAGATTAAAATAACAAGACACACAGAAAACCTCAGGGGTTTATATCAAGAGACATTACAAACAAAAACCATGAATACTGCAGTATTGGATGTGCCCTGTTCATAACGAAACAACATTTCTCCCTTCCATTCAAAATCCCACAAGCTTGCGATTCTGAGAATAAGAAACTGGGCACAGGGAGAATTTTCAGGTACACTTTTGATGAACAAGACTACAGCACCACAAGTCATGCCACAACACAGACAAACTGACAACAGACTGGAGCTAGGATCAACTTAACAGAAAAAAACTAAAACAGAAATGGGCCTCTCAAAAATACACTACATATTGCAGAGCAAATAAAGACCACCACTGTAGTTCTTACTGGGCTTTATACGCAAAGCTAGGGTGTGCTTTTTTTCAAAGGTCGTATATTATTCTTTGGGACCTAACCTATGCCTTTCAGAAGTGTCCTGGTTTTAGCTGAGACAGAGTTAACCTTTGTCTTTCGACATTCCCATAGTTCCACAGAGGATTTCACAATAATCACATCTGAACGCTTACATTTATAAAGTGATGTGCAACAGTTAGCAAGTAGCTGAAATGCTAGAAATTCAAGTGACCTCTGCCCTCGCAGTTTATTTATACGAGAAACATTCAGCTGGATTTGCACCCTGCTTACATTTGCCCAACTGGATACAGCTAGCTGTGAATTTAATACTTAACCTCCAAAAAAACCCTGGTTTTGCATTTAACAACATTATTTGGGGTTCATCGCAGCCAAGTTTAATGCATTAGATTCGCTAATGCACAGTACAGCAACTAGCTGAGCACGGCACTGTGACACACGATTTAGGTGAAATGCAATACACCACACCACTAACTGTGTTGGTAACTTTTGGTAGAACAACAGACAACCTCATTTAAGGAGTAATACTACACCAAGGATTGCTTGGAGAACACCACCTAGGACAACAGCTCTGGGAAAGTGTTTTGTCACATTAGAGTTCTCATTTACATGTTTGTCAGTACAGCTGTCAGACAGGCTTAACGATTTGCAACGCACAGTTGCCTTGAGGTAACATGAAAACACGGAGAGCACGGTGAAAATGGTTTCCTGAGAGCACCAATATTTCTAAGCAGATTGCTCCTTTATTTAACTTTTTGCCAAAAAAATTCAAGCATCCCTACAAAGTTTTGATCCATCATGACATGTATCATTGTTGTACCATTATCAGACAGGTAAATCATGCAATGAAAAAAATCTGTTTATGAATACCAATTTTTAAATTCTCCAATGAAATTTTAAAATCAAGTTTTAGTTATGAGAGATTTTGATGCCATGTTTAAAAAAATGTATTTAGAACTGTTCACTTTTTTACAAGTTACTAAAAAGTTACAAGTTATTTACTTAGTTTGCATTATTTGTGAATGCCTGCGCAGCAATTACTGGAGTGACATGCAGTACCCCTACAGAAGCAAAATGATACACGTGAAGCATTAAATTGAAAGCAAGAAGTGATTCTTGCATGCTGCTCAGACCAGGCACGTAACCTTTCTCAAGCATTCCAGTGACTTTTTTTTTACTTTATAACCTTGCCATTCTTTTACAGGCAAGAAGAAATCTAGTGAGAACATTTCTTAGTACCATCTACTTTTGCAAACGTTAGCAATTAGGCAAAACAAAATATATCATGAGCTACCGTTTATCTTACAATACCCTCCCAAAGGATTCGTAGTTTCAGGGCAAGCTGCTATAGGGGAGGACGGAGCTGAACTTTTATGAAGGTTAATTCCTTCGGCAACACAATCTCTTCCTCCTCTTTTTTTAAAGGAAAAAAAAATGGAATAAAGAGGATTAAAGAAAGAGTAGCGAGCAAGAAGAAAAAAGGAAAAACCTAAACAAACCTACCACCACATAAAAAAAAAAGAGGATTTCTTAAGGAACAACCAGAGCAACTTTTCAACATTTTTGACAGCCTTGTCTAACAATGTCTTTTCCCACGGACATTTTTATACTTTAAAAAATATTTTGGGGAGATAGATTGGGTTGTCTGAGGAAACAAGCAGAATAATCAGCTGTAGCAAAAAGTTCATCGTAAGACATGAAATTCATTATTTTAATGACTAAGGGCTCTGCATGGAGATTTTTCTTAAAACACTTTAGAATTCTCTGACCATACTTCCTAAGTATGTACATGTTCATTTTTTAATTTTGTCTGAAAAAATGAAACCAAGCTAAGTGATCTTTTCAAAGCCCTGAGGAATTTGCAGTTTTGCCAAAACTAGTATTATTTGACTTAGGTATTTTTAAAAAGCAAGAGATGTTTTTTAAAATGTTCAAGTTATGCAAAACCAAAAAAAAAAAATCTTAAGAGATGCATACATATCCTTTTGGGATATCTGTATCCTCACTGTTTCCAGGATCATTCTCCAGGTGCTGTTTAATTTTTTCTTCTAAGCCTACAGCATCTGCTCCTTGATACTGGTCGATTCGCACTTTGTTTCGGAAAAACAGAAATGTTGGTGTTGCCGATATATTATTGGTAGCAGCTGTTCCCTAGAATACAGAAATTAGTTACAAGCATTACCAAACAGAGTATTACCAATATTAGACAGAAACATTAGCTTACTTCACCTAGATAAGGATGCACACACCTGATATTAATCAAGCTGCAACACCTCAAACATCACAAACAATATTTGTTATTTTATAAGCAGCTTTAACTCAGACAACATTTTAAAATTCATTTCAACTCTTCAGATGCTCCTAATCCTTTACACATTGGGGCATTCGCTGAATGAACTTCACATTGTCAGTAGATTTGTTGGTAAACCATTGCAATGGTTTAGTATTTCTCATTTGCTCTCAAAAGGGGAGGGCAACTTCACTCAACACTTCTATTTTACAAGCTTTCTTTACATCTGCATTCCTTCCCCTCCCAACCCACATTCACGCACACCCCCAGGAATTGCAGCCTGCTGGTGCAGAAGGTGAATTCCATTTGATTTCTACTTGTATTCACACCTGTCATGCACCCATAGTATTTTTTTCCAAAACTTTCCATAATGTGTAATTTGCAAACATTCAAAATACTTCCTTTCAACATACCATTGTTAATTTTTGGTAACGACCCTTAATCAATAGCTCAGCTGCAACACTGTTTAAAACAGCTGAGTAGCACTTGAGAAGAATCTAGTCCCACCAATCATATCAGTTTATGGCATTTTTTATTTTGCCAAGTAACTATGCTAGTATTTGTTTGGAAAAACTCTTTAATTCATACTGGTGCTATCATCTACATTTAACCGTATTATCTAAATAGTACAAGCAGCAGGAACCATTAAACTGTCTGTACACTACTTAAATGAAGGACACCACAGTGATAACCGCAAGAATACTTTTCTAAATAAAAGGGCTGTTTGTTTACATCTTTGTGCATAACCCAATTTTGGAGAATTTCATAGCAGGGCTATTTGTAATTCACTAAACTTGTCAAAAGCCACAGGATACTGCTCTTAATATACTGTCTAAAGAGTTTTTCTTCAGGCTTCCCATTCACTACACTATCTGCTCTCTTAAAACTGCAAATATGTTTTTGAATACCAACCTGGCATTGATGTACATCTACTTCCAAAAAAGCTGCCTGGGGATATTTGTTACTCAGAGCATTGAAAGCTGGGGCTATCCTTAAACAAGGGCCACACCTGTGAAAACAAATACAGTTTAAGTTAACTCAATCTTAAAAAAAATAAAATATCTGCCCCAAATACAATTAGCACATGCACGTTCTTACTGATATCCTTGGTGCATGTAAAAATAACCTTCCTACCTGGCTGACAGATGGCGAGCAATCCTGCTGATACAATTAAGAGTGACATTTAGAAACACATCACCAAGTGTTAATTCCCACTTCCTCAAACAGTTTCAGTGTCACATGATTAGCTTCACCTATTAATTAATACTAACTTCCTATTTTCCACCTAACAGGTTTAGCTCCCGCTAAACAAAGTCCTGCTAACTAAAGTGACATAAGGGAGGGCAAAGAGTTGCCTGCTCTTCCTGAAACAGCAAAACACACTCTAGTGAGTTACGAGCACTCCATGTTACCTCCTGGGAAAAAAAAATAGTATCTACAGTAAAATCTACATAGCACTTGAAATATTTAACAGTAATAACGTATCAAAGCTTTAGCAGGAACCACAAAATTCTTACTACAATGAATCTCACCTACTACAACTGTACTTACTTGACCCTGCTAGAACAGACCTGACTTCTGCCAAATAAACTGTATCACCTCAGCTGAAAATTTGTATTTGTTGATTATTACACCTTTGCTGGCATATATAAAGTGCCCAGGTGCAACTGTTCCCACAAAGGAATACTCCCACAACCCAGCTTGCTGTGAAAGAAGGAACTAAAAAGCAAAACTTTAAAAAAAAAAACCCCAGTGGAAAGTACCTACTGCGGCTGATCAACATGAGCCTAAACCAGAGAGAGCTCTGTCCATACGAACCTGCCAACACGTACGATAAAAAAAACAGACGAGATCTGCTGCTGGACAGGGTATAGACCCGCCGCGGCGTGACAAGACCAACTCACCAATACTTACAGGCTGGTACATCAAGGCATTAATCTAAATAACACACTGGGCTGTCTGTAAGTAAAACACTTTCCTGGGCAGAGGGGTGAGCAGTGTCACCACCTCCACAGCTCCAGGTGAAACTGACTTACCTCAACCAAGGCACTAAGCACACCTACAGCATCCAGACCCCTTCACACACACCGCCAGGGATCCTAGGGGCCTCTTCACCCCAAGCACAACATCTTTCCTGTCAGACCTTAAGTCTTTTTGAGCTTTAAACAGCGCCTTCCTGACCTGCAGCTGTTTTTTTTTAAGCCAGCGTGGTGCCTGACCTCCTCAAGCACCTGAAGAACTTGCAGCTCTTCCCTACAGTGACCAAAATGATACAGTATTTTGACACCTCACCTTTAAAACCTTGCCTCCCTTCCAAAAAAAAATAATGAAAAAACATGAAAATACCTCAAAGACGCTTCTCTAGGCCCCGGGGAGCCCATGAGGCCTCGGTGAGGGGCCT